GTAGACCAGTTGGGCAAACTCCCACGCACCCTCCATGATGCTGCTGAGAGTGTAGAGCTGGTCCAGTGTTCCACGGCCAGGACGAAAACCACACTGCCCCTCCTGAATCTGAGGTTTGACTATCCGACGGACCCTCCTCTCCAGAACCCCCGAGTAGACCTTACCAGGGAGGCTTAAGAGCGTGATTCCCCTGTAGTTGGAACACACTCTACGGTCCCCCTTTTGAATAGGGGGACCACCACCCCGGTCTGCCAATCCAGGGGAACTTCCCCCGATGTCCACGCAATATTGCAGAGTCGCATAAGCCAACACAACCCTACAACATCCAGAGCCTTAAGGAACTCCGTGCGAATCTCATCCACCCCTGGGGCCCTGCCACCGAGGAGCTTTTTAACCACCTCGGTGACCTCAGCACCAGAGATTGGAGGGCCCGACCCAGAATCCCCAGGCTCAGCTTCCTCAGTGGAAGACGTGCCAGTGGGATTGAGGAGGTCTTCAAAGTATTCCGCCCACCGACCCACAACATCCCGAGTTGAGGTCAGCAGCACACCACTCCCACTATAAACAGTGTTGGTGGTGTACCGCTTTCCCCCCCTGAGACGCCGGATGGTGGACCAGAATCGCCTCGAAGCCGTGCGGAAGTCATTCTCCATGGTCTCTCCGAACTCCTCCCATGCCCGAGTTTTTGCCTCAGCGACAACCCGAGCCGCATGTCGCTTGGACTGCCAGTACCCATCAGCTGCTTCCGGGGTCCCACAGGCCAAAAAGGCCCGATAGGACTCCTTCTTCAGCCTGACAGCATCCCTGTCTGTCTAATAATCAATGTAAATCAGTTGTGAACTGGAGAAGAGAAGCCAACTAAGTTTTCTAAATGACCAAACTATTAAAAAAAATCACTAAAGAAACTAAACACAAATAAAAAAGAGATAATGAGAAAGGCAGTTTTGATGTGTTTCACTGAGACATGTTTGATGAAGCAATATGATCAACTTCTACAAAAAAATATTGTGTACTGGATTGTTAGCAGTGGGTTTCTGTCCATATCATATATCAAGAATGATCAAATGTGTTGTTTTTGTTGCTGTACAAACAGTATAATCCCTAGTGCCACCAGAAACATGTCATAGTGTCCTTGGGTGTCCTGAAAGGCACTTTTTAAATAAAATTATGATTATTATTATTATTATACGCCATCTTGATTGTTGACAGGCTACAAACAACACTTCTCTGCGTTCAGGCTGATCTCTTGAGAATTCAAGCAGAAACTCATCAGCTACACTTCTAACTTTCCAAAAATAAGAAAACTCTTCCACCACAGTATGTAATACATGAATTTATTCCATGCAGAAATGAGAATAAATGCAGATGTTTCCAATGCCCATACTCCATCTGAACACCGGAGCATAATAATAAATACTCACCACTAGCATTGTAAAACAGAAGCCTTCATCTAAGGTTGTTTTCACACCTGATAGTCTGGTAGACTCGGTTCGGTTCGGGACCAATATTCATGACCTTTTGTTACATTTGAGCTGGTGCGTTTGCATTCACACTGCACTGTGCAGTCGAGTCAACCTGTTGAACCAACCTGTTCCCCCGCTCGCCTGTGGTGGTGCTGCACCAAGAACTACTGAAAGAAACGACACAAAAACCTCTGAAGACACGTCTTCTTCTTCTTCTGTAAATAAAAATAAAAACGAAGTGGCATCAAGTTTTAGCAGTTTTAGGAGTTATATTTTGTCGTTTTTCAAAAATGGACTTAGCATGAG